CAGGATACTTGATTGATGACTCGTCGAATATAATGTTTAATACTTTTATTTGTTAGGTAACAAAACTAAAATGTAGCCTGTGTACGCAGGAAACCATTTCCAGGTCAGGATACTTGATTGATGACTCGTCGAATATAATGTTTAATACTTTTATTTGTTAGGTAACAAAACTAAAATGTAGCCTGTGTACGCAGGAAACCATTTCCAGGTCAGGATACTTGATTGATGACTTGTCGAATATAATGTTTAATACTTTTATTTGTTAGGGGATGCATGATGCAATGTTTAGAAAGTTCGTGAAAGGTAACGCCTTAGTAAGCTGAACACTGAGTTAGTTAGCATGTTTTTTACTGGTCGATTACTGAGAAAAAATTAACAAGTAAGTTTATTTGTGAGTTAGGCATACTATTAGTCTGAGAATTTCTGTTTAAAAGTTCATTTGTGAAGTTAGGCTTACAAATGAAAGTAGTCTGTAGCAAACGTGAAAGAAGAAGAAATAAACCATTTATTATAGTTACGTAGAGAGGATTTGGCATTGTTTTTACCAAATCATTAAAAAAACCACCCAACAATAATAACATCTGACCGGAACGTTATGTTTGTTTGTTTTGAATTTCGCGCAAAGCTACACGACATTTATACAAACTCTAGCGTTGACGATAACCGGTATCACGACTTTTATACAGACTCTAGTGTTGAAAATAACCGGTATAACGACTTTTATACAGACTCTAGTGTTGAAAATAACCGGTATAACGAAATTTACTACAGACTCTGGTGTTAAAAATAACCGGTATAACGACATTTATACGGACTCTAGCGTTGACGATAACCGGTATCACGACATTTATACAGACTCTAGTGTTGACAATAACCGGTATCACGACATTTATAGAGACTCTAGTGTTGACAATAACCGGTATCACGACATTTATAGAGACTCTAGTGTTGACGATAACCGGTATCACGACATTTATAGAGACTCTAGTGTTGACGATAACCGGTATCACGACATTTATAGAGACTCTAGCGATGACGATAACGGGTATCACGACATTTATACAGACTCTAGCGATGACGATAACCGGTATCACGACATTTATACAAACTCTAGCGTTGACGATAACCGGTATCACGACTTTTATACAGACTCTAGTGTTGAAAATAACCGGTATAACGACATTTATACGGACTCTAGCGTTGAAAATAACCGGTATAACGACATTTATACGGACTCTAGCGTTGACGATAACCGGTATCACGACATTTATACAGACTCTAGCGATGACGATAACAGGTATAACGACATTTATACAGACTCTAGCGATGACGATAACCGGTATCACGACATTTATAGAGACTCAAGCGATGACGATAACCGGTATCACGACATTTATACAGACTCTAGTGTTGAAAATAACCGGTATAACGACATTTATACGGACTCTAGCGTTGAAAATAACCGGTATAACGACATTTATACGGACTCTAGCGTTGACGATAACCGGTATCACGACATTTATAGAGACTCTAGTGTTGACGATAACCAGTATCACGACATTTATACAGACTCTAGCGATGACGATAACAGGTATAACGACATTTATACAGACTCTAGCGATGACGATAACCGGTATCACGACATTTATAGAGACTCTAGTGTTGACGATAACCGGTATCACGACATTTATACAGACTCTAGTGTTGACGATAACCGGTATCACGACATTTATACAGACTCTAGTGTTGACGATAACCGGTATCACGACATTTATACAGACTCTAGTGTTGAAAATAACCGGTATCACGACATTTATAGAGACTCTAGTGTTGACGATAACCGGTATCACGACATTTATAGAGACTCTAGTGTTGACGATAACCGGTATCACGACATTTATACAGACTCTAGCGATGACAATAACCGGTATAACAACATTTATACAGACTCTAGTGTCGACGATAACCGGTATCACATTTATACAGACTCTAGTGTTAACGATAACCGGTATCACGACATTTATACAGACTATAGCGATGACAATAACTGGTATCACGACATTTATACAGACTAGCGATGACGATAACCGGTATAACAACATTTATACAGACTCTAGCGATGACGATAACCGGTTTTACGACATTTATACAGACTCTAGTGTTGACGATAACCGGTATCACGACATTTATACAGACTCTAGTGTTGACGATAACCGGTATCACGACATTTATACAGACTCTAGTGTTGACGATAAC